ATTATTATTTTCATGAGATAACCATTCTTATAATATTAAGACTCTTCAAATCATGCGTGGGGCCTTATTTTTGAAGATCTAATTACAATGGTGTTAATAACAAAGGCCATGGGGCAATGTATAAAAATCCCCGCTCCCACTCAATTTTTAATCATTCATAATTAGGGTTTTCATTTTATTCATTTACATGATATAATGCATGCAAAACGTCTTGATTTTAATCCAATTAAATTTAGAAAATATTTGGACTTTAAACGATTCACTAATATTTAATTTGAAGCACACTTTAAAAAATAATTTACAAAAAATAATTTTACGTTTCCCAATAAGTGCCCTCAAATTAACTAGTAATCATATCCAATTAATTTTCATAACTTAATTAATATAAATTAAGCCATTTAAATAAATATCATGGATCCAATACATGAATAATAATTAATTAACAATTATATATTCTATGCATTTCATACATCGCATAAATCAATAAATAACAGATAAAGCAAATAAAATGGCCAATGGATTTAGCTTTTAACATTTAATTGCTCTAAGTATTGCGCAAAGGTCCTTCATCAGCTTGCAAACACCTGCAGGAGGCCAGTACGCGTCTGGAGAAGCAAAACGATGCTCGGAACGCACCAGGAAGGTCTTACACGCGCTCCCACGCGTCCCTGATGTTTCCCACACGCCTGCACGCGCTGGGGAGTGCTTGCAGCGCGTGTCACGCGCTTGCACGCGCTGCCACGCGCCGGCACGCGCGTGCTTGTAACTGCCAGCACGTGGACGCGCTGGCAAGCGCCAGTTGGCGACTCCAGCCAATGCGCGTGTACTCACGCGCTGTACCATTGGGTGCGCACCAATTGACATGTAGGCGCGCTGCATGTGATAATTCTTCAGCAATGATCTTGATCCAACGGCATCTGGTACGCGCGCATGTGAACCGCGCTGCACCGGATCATCCGACCACTTCCGGCACTTCGCTTGCCACCGGTGATGCTCTGGATGACGGAATTTCGCCGGAAAACCGCCGAAAATTGCCAGGAAAAATTAATAAAAATTTCCAGAAATTAAATTTAAGCCCAAAAAATTCCAGAAAAATTTTGAAAAATTCTAGAAAAATTCCGGAAAATTACTGAAGCCTAATTTAACCCTCTTGGACCTTCTTGAAGCTTCATAGCATCCTTTGATGAATATTACATGGCTTTAAAAATATTTACAATTTGAACTACAATGGAAAAAATTAAATTACATCATTGAACTTTCAAACGGCTAAATCGAAGCCTTAATTACATTCATCCAAAGATAAAATTACATTCAATTAACCTATAAGCTTCATCCATGGCCCAAACATACATAAACATCATTCAATCACAAATATACATATATCATGATCATATATAAAACATATACATATGCATATATAAATTTGGATCCATGAATGATGATTTTCATAAAATCATGATCTCTAGTAATGAATCAAACCATGCTCTGATACCACTGTTGGAAAACTTGCTAGTTTTAAAAACTTTTCGAGGGATTTAAATTCATAAATCTTGATTCATTATATAGAGACAAGTTTCATGCAAAAATAAAGTATGATGTATCATTCAATTAAAAGATTGAATACTTACATCAAGGTTTGAGTAAACCTTAGATCTCTCCTCTAAAGTGAATGTTCTCACTTATTGTAGATCCCTTAGCAAGATGCATTCTCCTTGGATCTCCATCTTCTTGGTAATTGTTTTGCCTTTAGGAATCACTCATATGCCCCCATGAATGACCTTGGAAAACTAGGCTTGTGGGAGCCTCCATTAGATGAGAACATAAACCCTAATTTTCTAGAGAGAGAAAATTTATTCCTTTTTTCTTCTCATCAAAATCACCCCTAAAATATACATAGACCATGTTTATTTATAGGCAACATAAAGGTAAAGAAAAGGAAACAACTAATCATTCTCAATCTCTAATTCACATGTCTCAAATCTAATATGATTCCAATATCAAGTTGGGCTATGAGTGAGAATCCATTGGGCCTATTATTTTATTGGCTACAATGAATTAATGATTGGCCCGGTCCATGGACCCAATTAAATTAATTCATAAATTAATTTCTACTCCACTAAAAGAAATTAATTGAACTCCAATTAAATAATAAATAACCTCTAAGCCAATGTTGCACTTTGACCCCTCTATACATAATTAGTTATCGGATAAATAATGCCATCAATCCGACTACTTAATTAATATATTTATTTTGGTACCTTTGATTATTTCTGGCTCGATCACAATAAAACATTTGTTTGACAAAAATAATAATTTAATAAATAAATATATAATAAATCATTTTGTCTAAAATCATACGAAGGCCTTCGAATTTACTTTGTGATCAACCATAATCAATACAAAATAAATACAAGTAGTAATGATGCAAATATTGAAAATATAACCCTCTAACTATTAATTACATAACTACCCGAAGTGTCGGTCTAAGGATCCCGAAGAATCCGCCGAACAAATCAAAGTAATTATTAATTAATAAAAGAGTCTATACTTTTCTCATGCTTAAGAGTCAAATGCCATGACGGTGATAGGGAGTAATTGCATACGACGGCTCTCGCAATCTATCTCAACCTAACGTGGATCCAGTTCAAGTCTTAATTAATTATGAGTACATCCATAATTACCGACTATGAACAATTTATAATTACTATTTATATATCATGCATTGATTGTCATCACATACATATATATAAATATTTCTTGTAATTATATGGACACTATCAATTTCATAGTGAATCGAAATATAATACATTGAATTCACCAATTGTATAAAACATAAATATTTCAGAAACGTCAGGAACATATGCCAATTAATCCAAACAGGAATTTACTATGCCAGGGCATATAAATCCCAACAGTTCACATGCCACAAGCATCTTGAGAGGCCTTCCCGGAGGCAATTATCTGCAATGATTTCCAACTTTGTGTTAAAGACAAATACTATATTTATTATCCTTTAAAATATAAAAGGGTATAATAGTAAATTTATCTTTTAAAATATAAAAAGATATAATAGTAAATTTATACATCTAGCACGGGCTAATAGTAAATTTATACATCCGGTGGTTACAAGCACTTAAAAGAGAGCCCTACCAACAAGCTGAAGACGGTAGCAGGGCTACTTTCACAATTATCACGCTCGCACTACTTCTCTCTCTTGAAATGCCTCACTCTTTGTCAATGTGTGTGTGAGAGCTGATTTATATATAGTGTTTTTAACTGCTCGTGAGTAGGGTGTTTTTAATGTGGAAATGGCCCGAATGTTTTTAACGTGGAAATGCCTTACTTTCAATTTTAATTTTCTCTAAGAAATCTAACACGTACTTCCATTAATTAAGAAACATGCTCTTTTTAGTAGGCAATTTTTAATTCAATAAAATCCTTTAAAACTTACAAACCTTTAATAGCAAATTAATTGCGTAGAAAAGTCTTGAACTTTGATATTTTATACCGGTTGTCATTAGTGATCATCTATCAACAGCATAAACCAAAACAACATGGTATTAGGTGAATTTTTTATATTTTTATCAAAACTAATTTATTTTATATAATATAATACATTTATACTATTAGAAAGAGTGGCTTAAAAAACAAAGATAATAAAATGCAATAATCTTGAGTCAAAATGCATTTATTACACATCAACCTTTATAGATCCAACCTCTCAAGTTATATTTAAAAGTGGAATAATATTATTAAGAGAGGTCTTCTGACAAGGAGATCTTCACATTTAACTACTTGATTAAAAGATGTAATAAATAATTCGTTTGATTTTTCACAAATTTTAAAAAGGTATCTCAATCTAGTACGTTCATAGTTAAACGTGGGCCGAAGATGAACGGGGCTAAGCGATCTGCCGAAGCTATGAATGCTCATAGTCCTAGTTGTCTTGATAGGATTACTCTTAAGCTGTATTTGGCGGCGTAGAATTGGAACATTGGAATTAGAATTGGTGAAATTAGAAAAAATTTTAATTTAATTTTCTAAATTATTTTTCTCCAATTTCATTAATTTCAATTTTAATTTCATTAAACCAAAAACAACCCTAAAAAAGTTTTAAGAAGGCCAGCAACTTTTCAATTATATACACGTTAAAAACACCCCGCTCACGAGCAGTTAAAAACACTATATAAATCAGCTCTCTCACACAGACGTTGACAGAGAGTGAGGCATTTCAAGAGAGAGAAGTAGTGCGAGCGTGATAATTGTGAAAGTAGCCCCTGCTACCGCCTTCAGCTTGTTGGTAGGGCTCTCTTTTAAGTGCTTGCCACCAGATGTATAAAGGGTATAATAATAAATTTTTACATCTGGTATAATAGTAAAAATATCTATAAATTTATCTTTTAATATATAAAAAAATATAATAATAAATTTATTAAAATAATTTTATTTCTTTTCTTTTCTTTTCCCAAACATGATTATTACTCTTTCGTTTCTTTTTCTTCATTAATCAACCAAATACAATAGAAGGTTAAAATTATGCTTCCTTTCACTTTCTTTTGTAACTAATGTTATTATTTCTTTTCATTTCCACCGTACTTAGCATAACTTTAAATTGAGATGGAGGGAGTATTTTATTTGTGGAAAAGTTAGACATGCTAATTAAGGTCTAAGAATGGGTTTGGATCTCATTTGTAAAAGAAAAAATGTTAAAAATTTTAGATGTTTGTCTTTAACACAAATTTGGATGTATTAGTGCAATTTATCTTATTTAATTTTTTTCTATTTTTTATATAAGGTATTTATATAATTTTACACCATCACTTAACCTTAGTTAATTCTCAATTAACCAAAAAGGAACTGGAAGGGTAATTTGCAACACCAGGAACTAGAAGTCTTGTGTCTTGTGTCTTGTGTCTTTTGTCCCAACGCATCTTTCGGTCGCCTCATTGGGTTAATTATACACTTTTTCTTCCATTAAAAATTGAAGTGTGCGGATTTGTAGCTGCTTGTTGAACTTTAAAAATTGTTCTCGTTGTTGACAAGACTTGGAAAGTTAACTTGAGCGTTGGGTTGTCTAGAGCTTATCAATTTGCAATTCCACAACCAAAGAGAAAATTTGCAGTTTCCTTTACCCAAACGAGAGAGATCTGAGCTCATCATTTGTAATGGAATCGGAGGGTGGTGAAAGATAATTTTTGGATGTGTTGAAAGTTTGAAACACAGAGAGATCAGAGCTTTTTGTATATATTTTTGATTTTGATAGGGTTAGTAATACTCCTTACTACTCATATACAAGGTTGTTTTATTTAGATTGATATTCGATTCATTACAGTGTTGCTGATCGATGGAGATGGAGATGAAAAGAAAGGGAAAAATGGTAATAAGTCCTCCCCGATCTACAAAAGTCAATGATACTGAAATTTTGGGAGGCGAATATGAAGTCTTCTTGAGTTGTAGAAGCTCAAACACTTGCCAGGCATTCTCCGATTACCTGTACAATCATCTCATGGGCGTACGAGTTGGCACCTTTTGGGACGATAAAGATCATGCCCGAGGAGAAAACATTGGACCAGCGCTCCCAATGGCAGTCAAGGTGTCGAAGATCTCCATCCCTATATTCTCCAGAAATTATGCCTCCAGTACATGGTGCCTCCGTGAGCTCACCCAGATGGTGGAGTGCAAGAGAACCACAGGACAATTGATTCTTCCCATCTTCTACGACGTCCTACCCTCTGATGTGAAGCTTCAATCTAGGTGTTACAAGGAAGCATTTAGCGAGCACGCCCAACATTTCCACATTAAAACTGTTAAGGCATGGAAGAGGGCATTGAGAGAGGTTGGAGACCTCAAGGGTTGGGACATGATGAAAGAACCTGACAGGTAATTCATTTGATTATTATCCTGCTAGTAATTATAAGCCCCCTTATTTTATTGCATTATATAGAGAATTCATATAGTTAATACAGTAGGTAATGTTGTTTGGAATTCATGAACCCATAAACAACAATAAGCAAGAAGCTCCTGGTAACTGGTCATATAGAAATTAAAGAACAATTTAGACAGATAGAAACACAAATGTAAGAAGAATTGTAAGCTTTTCGGGTTACTTAATTCAAGAAGATTAAAATAAATAATTATAAGTCAAAATCAGAATATAGAAACTATAAATCATTTTATTTTTGCTTTGATTTCCTTTGGCAATAAATTTTTCATTCCGGTTTCCCATCTTGACATCAGGTCTGAAGAACTAAAATTTATAAAAGAGAATATTGTTCCTAAAATATTGCTGGAGCTAAAGAAGAACTTCATGGTTGCAACTGACATCTTGGTTGGAATGGATCACCACCTTGAAGAAATGATGAGATTATTAGACGTCGTCTCCAATGAAGTACGAATAGTTGGTATCCATGGCATTGGTGGTATTGGCAAGACAACTACTGCCAAATTTATCTACAACAAGCTTCTCAAGTGTTTTGAATGTTGTAGTTTTCTGGCAGATGTTCAAGAAAGGATGCAACAACCCAAGGGAGTTAGTGGTTTACAGAAACAACTTCTGTCTGACACCCTAAAAAGTTGTCCTGAAATTGCTGATGTTGATAGTGGAATTGACTTGATTAAAAACGTAGTTGTCAAAAAGAAAGTTCTCATTGTTCTTGATGACGTGGATGCAAGCTCGCATTTTACCACGCTTGTGGGAAAGCGTGATTGGTTTCATTCAGGGAGTAGGATCATAATTACAACTAGAGACATACATGTTTTAGATGATCTTAAAGTGGATGCGACTTATGAACTTCCATTAATGGATCATGTGCAATCTCTCCAACTTTTCAGCATGCATGCATTTAGAAAGAAGTGGCCTATAAATGATTATTTAGATATTTCTATGGATGTTGCATCTACTGCTGCAGGGCTTCCTCTGGTTCTTGAGGTTATAGGTTCGTTTCTATCTAGCATGGAGAAAGCGGTATGGGAGGATACATTGAAGAAATTGGAGAAATTGCCACATGATGAAGTCATTAAAAAGTTGAGAGTAATTTATGAAGCATTAAATTTTGCACAACAACAGATATTTCTCGATATTGCTTGTCTTTTTACTGGAATGTATAAAGCAGCTGCATTTTACATGTGGGATGATTGTGGCTATCATCCAAAAAGGGAACTGAATGTCCTCCTTCTCATGTCTCTAATGAAAGTGGGAGATCCTAATGAGCTGAAAATGCATGATCAGTTTAGAACTCTTGGTAGGAAAATCATATGTGAAGAAAAGATTCGGGGAAATCGTAGTAGGTTGTGGAATCATGAGGAAGCATTGAACTTATTGGAGGGACGAAGGGTAAGATTTGAGTGCCTCAGTGCTCTGAATTTTATACCCTTATTAAGTGTTGTAAGTCAAATAAATCTGGTCCTAATATGTTGTTTTACTAATTTTTTCCATTGGCAGGGAACAGAAAAGGTCGAAGCCCTATGTCTTCATTTTGAATTAGGACCTGAAAAGAAGCCTCGTTTTACAAGTAAGGAATTTGCAAAACTAGTGAATCTAAGGTATCTCCGAGTGGATGGTGTGGACCTTGTTGGGGATTTTGAGCATCGTCTGCCCCGGTTAAGATGGCTTAATTGGCGCAGTTGCCCTCCTCATTTTAAACCAACTAATTTCTATACGAAGAATCTAGTCGTTCTTGATCTATCGAATAGTGGCATCACAGAAGACTGGGGGGGTTGGAATCAAATCAAGGTATTTATAATATCCATACTTTTGTTTCTTCTATCCCATAATATACATGTTGAAAAACAATCCTTTCGTTACTATTTTATTTGTTTTAAAAACAATCCTTTTCGTTACCACTTTATTTGTTTTAATAGGTGGCAAAAAAATTGAAAGTTCTACAACTGGCTAATTGTGCTTTAAGGAGAACGCCAGACTTATCATTCTATGCAGCTTTAGAGATATTGATTCTTCAACGCTGTAAAAGTTTGGTCGAAGTCGACCGATCCATTGGTAATCTGAAGAATTTAAAAGTGTTTGACATTTCATATACTGATATAAGGAATATACCTGAAGAAATTTGGATGTTGGAGAAGCTGGAAGTAATAGATTTCACACATTGTAGTTATTTAAAGGGGCACATTCCTAGTAATATAGGGAACCTAACATCTTTGAGATTCTTAAGCTTTTATGATACCAAAATTCAAAGCATACCAACAAGCATTGGGGAGCTCTCTTGCCTTCAAACCCTTAAATTAGGAGGTTGCACAGAGCTTCAATCACAGCCTTCGCTTCCCTCAAGTTTAAGGGTTCTTTATGTCACTGCTATCCATAATCTTGAAAATTTTGTTAATTTACAGGAATTGCACTTTGTTGGGTGCTGTGTGTATGTGAAAATTCCTAGAGATATTTGGTTATTATCCAAATTGGAGAAATTGACCTTGGATTCTACCAACATTAGGACCCTACCAAAAGAGATCGACGCCCTTTCTCAGCTTAAGGTGCTCGATGTACAATATTGTCACGGTCTTCAATTTATACTGGGGTTGCCTTCAAGTCTAGTTGATTTATCTCTTGCATTCTGTTCTTCACTGGAAAGATTGCCCGATCTGTCAAATTTGAAAAATTTGTCGAGATTGTCGGTTAGAAGTTGCAATAGGCTGACAGAGGTTCAAGGACTTGGAAATTTGGAATCGTTGACAAGGTTGGACATATATGCATGTGATATGCTAGCTAACCTTATCCTGCATGAACAGTCACCATGCTTATTATCCTTGACATCATTGAAATATATGGATTTGCATGGTTGCAATAATGTAGGTGAGATTGAGTGTGATGAGGCTTTGAAATGTTCGGTGGAAATGAACCTGTCAGTGCACCACTCTGCATTAAGCAGGTATGATTTTAGTTAAATGTGGTTTTTGCAAGTGGGATTTCTTGATTGCTTCTATATATTCTTTTCTTATATATATATATATATATATATATATCGATTCTGTTAGTGGTTGGAGGAGTTAATGAAATTTACAAAAGCTTCAGATACTAGTATCATCACAAATAGTTTCAAAATTGTCTAACAAGAAAGTTGAAATGGTTATTTACACCAGTCAACGACCAAACTGTAGGATGTCCATTGGTCATTAGGGATGTGTTAACTCTCTCCAGACTCTGTTTCATAAGCCCGTCCATGGGTCATTAGGGATGTGTTAACTCTTTACATACTCTGTTTCAGTTTTTTATTTTTGACCTCCAACCCACGTGTCTGAGGTGGGATGTTGATAATGATCAAAACGAGGTTCAATCCAAAATCTAGACTTAACTATTCGAAGACTATTTTGGTGGTTATTTAAAACCAAAAGTTAACTAGTTGAAGTCCATTTAGGTTGTGATTTGAAATCAAATATTAAACTATACTTCTTGCTGTTCAAGCTGTTTTTCAAAATCAAGAGGGACATTACTGGAAGCCTGCTTTGTCAGTATCTGGAACTGAATTAGTTTTTCGGATAAAGTTGGTTATCTGGTTTGGACTAATTGAAGTCTATAAGATTGATTATTTGAAATCTAGGAAATTCAGACTATTCTGAACCCAAGGTTTGTTAATGGACCCTAGAAAATTAGACTGTTCCTTCCCTAAAAAGGTTGGTTAAGCCTATTCAAGGCTAAAAATGTTAGGTGTCTGAAACTTAAAAAATTTAGACTTTTCAAAGTTGTTGTCATCATCATCCTTGCTTTTTTTTCCAAATGAATGGGGTTGGTAATATGTATTCTCTTTCTCCATTCTATTATGTGTTCATGCGAAAATCCATGCAAGCCTAAACAGCAATTTTTCCTCCAAGACAAAGGGATGACGTCACTACCGAGGACGCTCCGACGGTCAAATTAGTGACCAAAGACAGTTGCAAGATACTATATTCAATGAATCGCAATAAATTTTTTGCGTACCTCATTTACTGGCCGATCTCCTATTTATTGTCATTCTCGTTATCTAAGTCGGTTGCGAAAATGAAGGTAGAGAAGATGAACCTTATTGCCTTTAACAACTCTTTAGATGGGGTGATTGTCTCTACCCGTCAACAGCCTAATGCGGTCATCGCTCTCTCCATATCCTGAAAGTTAAGAATTAAAATGGATATATAATTTTCTTGGTTAGCCAAAGCAATCAGTCAACGTGAAATTAATTTCCTCATCATTCTATATACACCATGTCTCCTCTAAGGTTTAGTGATTTAAAATTAATCATTTTTAATTACTCGTTTCACTTACTTTTCAAAGTCTAAGCAGATGTACTTATTTACAACTTGGGAAATTCAGACCATTCGAAGCTTAAAGATTGTTTATGTTTGCCAAGTATTTTTTTTTTCTTTATATATATATATATATATATATATATATATATATATATATATATTGAGGTTAGGCATGATTAGTAGTCTGCTTAATTTTATTTACTTTTATTTTTACAGGTCTCTCCAAAAGCGTAAAGAAAGATTGAGCATACAGGAGGCAAGCGGTGATGCGACGGACTTCACATGGTCTGACCATGCGGAGCAGCACCGAGAGAGTGAAGAGAAGAAACCCAATGCGAATCATTGGATGAAGGACGGAATAAATGAGCTGGACTTTAACTTTTTCTCGCTGGAGGAAGTTCGATCGATCGAACCTTAACTTGGATCGATCGAAAATGGGTTCGACTCCCATGGTCTGACTATGCAAAGCAAAACCAGGAGAGTGAAGAGAAGAAGCCCAATGCAAGGGACTATTTCCCATGGTCTGACGATTCAAAGCAGCACCAAGCGAGTGATATCCATGTCTCTATCCGTACCGGCTTACTAAGACGAACCTGGTAAGTCGTGCTATAACTCTTGTCCATTTGACTGCACCGTAAATTTTTTGAATCTACATCTCAGTCACTCCGACCTTCCTAGAATTAGAAAGACAACTACTAAGCCTCCTTCAGTACCCTAAACTCATCTGAGTAAGGTACTACCTCCTGTGGGGTCAGCCCAAATATTCCAAGTTGACCGCTTCCCTTTCCCTGGTAATAGCAAGTGTTATTATTTCCACGTGCTAAAATGCAACGGATTGCACAATAATCACCGAATGTTCAATCACCACATCAGTTGATAAAATCATCCTCCTTCCTATTACTTCCACTAGACGCAACTTAATGCAAAGTGTGAATCACCACAACTATCCATCTAAGCCGTCTCGTGATTCGTTCTATTCGTAGGAACTGATATCTTACCAGTTCCAAAATAGACGAAGTGAAACTGATTTAATTGTATCAGTTAACCAATATTCCCACCAGAATCCCGACCCTTGTGTAGAACCAGCAATCTTTCATCTAGATCCGTGGAAATTACTCTATCAGTTATGCTCTAGTATAAGAAGTGGCTGCAAGGATCCAATGATCTTCAACGGTCCATCTAGATTACCTACGAGATATCAAACTTTGAGACAAATCACTATGTCCTTCCTCCTACCTGCTTTCTAAACATCTGCTTCCTGTTGCGAAGCATCATGTTTCCTTCAAGACCCATTAAGAACTAAGAGCTGTGAACCTCAGTCCTTACATCCTCCTTCCAATTTGTTTAACGAAAGTATCGTTAGTCTACTAACACCAGCTTCCATAATTAGATATTCGGCCTCACCTTCAAATCGTTGACATCCTACTTCTCTAACTCAAGTAAGTGTCTATTAGACTTCCTGTCTAATTTCTAATACATATGGAATTATTTGTTGCGAACTGTGACCTAAAAAAAATAAAAAATAAAATTCCATATTGTTTGTGCAAATGAAGTGACTTGCTTCCCCCATGATATGCAACCCCAGCAACTCCTCCTAACGACATGCCTTCATGAATCAAATTCTTAATGAAGGATAAACTGATGAATAGTTAATCCGTATCCTATCCTCAGTCGGTGTCGTTCCAACAAGTACTTAACCCAGTACAAAATCCTTCTGCTGATTATTCAGCGAAGTCAGTTCCTCCGATAAACCATCGTGACATTACAGTTTATCAAATGAATCTATATCATTTGACTAGAACAACTGGTTTACTTATCCCATCTTGAAAACATACGATACCCCCGCATGTCTCGGTTTCTCATATTGGCTAAAGTTAGGTATACTTAACCAATTTTATGACCCCATGCCCAAAATCTTAGCGTAATTAACGCTATTCCTCCAAAACGGTAGTTGAGGGTTCACTCACTTGTGCCCCCGACTAAACCGTAATCCCGATCCTGAATAATTAACAACAAAGAAACACATAAAGCACACACAATAAAACACAACAAAATCTACGTAAAACATCGTTCCTCCTTGCAAGGAAAATCCCTTTTAGAAATCAACTTTACCTGATTGGTTCACAATCTCCTTTTCCAGTTTCAGAGGAAATCATCCAACTTCGAAACATAAGCTCAAACCATAGCTCACAACCAAATCCCTTTGCCTCAACAAATTCCAAAGACTTAACCCTCATCCTCCTTATACACGGAATGAACACCGTCTAATGTGGCTGTAAGGAAGCAACTTATACCGTCACAACCTAATTCCTGTACTCCCTAGAATGTGATATAAAATCATTGCCTCATTCTGAGAAACACTCCATCCGATTCTTGAACCCCTAAAAATTTCTCTTTATCTACCTTGTTTAAAGGTAATACACAAGATTAACTATATGTAGGTCGATCCCCACCAACACTACAAGTATCGTTCACTATACCATTAGCGAAAAAAATCACCCTTGCGCGATCCTTGATTTTCAAGATTCAATACCCTCTTTCTTGGGTATGTTGAAAACTCCACCACTGGAATCCTCTTCGGACTCCTAATCCTCGTTTGTCTCCTTCATGAGAACAACAGCAATCGTGTCGGTCCCTTTTGTGCGGTGACCTAAAACACATTCCTACATCCTTCCTTGGCTTATACTTCTAAAAGTAGCGCCAACCGGAACTAAACCTTTGATACCAAGTCCTGCTTCTGATAGAGAACTCGATAATAACTCCTTTACTCCTTTGGGTCTGAATCGTTGTCACAGTGGACCCCATCCTCCTCCTAGTGTCAACCATTCCAAAATTATGAAATATAATTGACATCTGCTCCTCCCAACGAACCGTAAAAGAGTACAACGAATCCTAATATGGCTCTAAGTTTTAAGAGACGCAACACGGAAGACTTCTAACGAAAGACACTCCTAAGGACACTAGAACCTGGAGTGCTCTAATACCAACTGTGATACCCCTCGATTTTAGAGCCTTGGGTGATCAAGTTCGAGCACAGATCCGAGGGATACCAAACAATCAATATATAAACAAGCAGGAATAAAAACTGATTTAAGAATAAAATAATAATGCGCTGAAAGAAATCTAAAATAAAAATCCTCAAACTTTAAATAATAAATTAATATCATTTAAATCTTCCAAATCCGTACAACTCGAAAATCCAACAAGTGGACCCCTAATAATCCCAAATGATAAAACTTTACAAAATTAAAATCCAAAACTAAAATCAGAAAGAAAATCCTATTTAGTTGGAAGAGTGAGTGACTATATCTGCATCACCACGAACAAGCTCTAAGCTTGCTACTGTCAAACACCTGAAAAATAAGGGTGGGTCAGGCCCACATGTAAGTTCCATACCACTACAATCCATACATAAACCCGATACGCAGATACATCCTAATATAGCTCAACAATAGCTAAAGTAGTCCATATAGATATAAGTACACACTATAGGACGTTTACCAGCCCACATAATCCGTCTCAACCCGAGTAGAACAACCAGGGAAACATCATCAGGCCTGGTTATCAATCCTAGGCGATATACGCACCCTAACCGTGATCAGGAGACTCAAACTCATATCACGGTACCATAAGTATATACATAAATTCCTTCCTAGTGCAGAAAGATAAAACAAATATCCATTATGTCGTTCAACTGTTTTAGTTGACAGGACATGCATCCATGTAAGATTTAACTGTTTTAGTTAATCCATTACTTATATATGAATGGGTTGGAATTAGCGTTTTGATCTAATCCATCCCTCCGTATGTCACCGTCCCATACCGGTACATACATGCATATGATTCACAGATGATGCACATTCAAATGAACATCAAATAAATCCAGAAACTAGCATAATAGAAAACAGATATTATTAAGATCCTATTATGCATCCAGTATATGATTATAATTATTAATCCTCCAAATAAATTGTTAAAGTATTGATAAACAATTTATATTATTCACATCCATACAATTGATAAAACAGAAGCTAAACAGTTCATCAATTAACATCCATAACCTGATATAATGATCAAACAGAATTATGAACTAAATACATTATACTAGATATCCCAAACCATCCTCTCATACTAGTTTATTTACATTGCCAAAACAAAGCCTAGTAATGAAATCCTCCACAATCCTTGACGGCATAAACATTTACATATACACCACATGACGTCCCTTTGATCCTCCACTCCAAAACCTGTGATTGATATAATATAACACCCTGAAGTCCAAACTGCCCATTATATGAACTCCAACAATATCCCCATACTAGTCCATTTAGTTCGCTAAATCAAAACTAGCAACAAAAATCCCTACCACTCCCGACAACATGCCATTTAATATCTAAGTTAATAATGTCTATGACCATGTCCTAAACTGACCTTTCTGGCCTCCATTAAGTTATATAAATAATTTATATAACATTCGAAAAGTTATTCAATACCAGTCAGTTTAAGTTGTTAAAACAAGCTTAGTAAGTTAAACATTCCTCTTTCCTTGACAGCATCCCTATTCCACTTTTTCGTTTCCTAATGCCCCTTAGGATTAGCACCCTAGCATAAACCAACTATTAAAGGGTCTTAATAGGTTAATTTTTACATATTTGAAACCCCCTTTAATTTTTAATATTTGCGTTTAACCCCAGAACAAAGGAAAAATTACAGAAAACACCCCGTAGGGGTTCCTGTTCAAAGAAGCCGCCTCCAATTTAGGTTGAGCCGGCTCCACCTATATTGGAGCCACCTCAACCCCTTATGGAGCCAGCTCCACTTCAATGGAGCCGCCTCCATTGAAGGGTGGAGCCGCTTCCACTTCTCCAGCCTCCGTTTTCCCTCTCTGCTTCCTCTGTTCTTCTTCTTCGCTTCCGGCGAAAATTCTAATTGTCTATTATAAGTTTCTTAAGGATTTTAAAGGTTTAATTTAAGCCCTAACACTCCTAGAAACTCTTTTGATTCCACTACCAATTGATTGACAAAAATCTAAACAGAACCAGAGCAGTTTATGCAAGAACACCAATCACAATTAACTGAACAAACGACCAGTTTAAAGTCTGATCCCATGCATCAAAATTCCGTTTTAAAATTTAATTAACTTCCTAACCATCCTAGAAACTCCTTATAATCCATTGTAAATTAATTACAGAGGTTTAATACACAATCCAATAGTTTATGCAGGGAAAGCAAACTTCAGTTATTTATACGTTAATCAATTTACAGTCCGGCAAACAAGCATTAAACACCAGTTTTAAAAATTGATTTAATTCCTAGAGACTATACCGAATGCACAGAACACAAGTTTACAGGAAGGAGGTGGAATGAAACTTGCCTTTAGGTTTCGGTTTGAAACCTTACAACGCCGTCTATGGAGTTTCTGATGAACGGACGACTACCGACAACCTTCCCACTGCTCAGTTCTATCTCACAGTAAACCATACCTTCCTCCTTGACATAAGCTTCAATCCATAGCCAAAAACCTTTCCCAGTTCTCTTCACGTTTTTCCCCTCAACCTCTCTATTTCTCTCTTCCTCTAGTTACGGGGAAAAGGGTTTTATTTTGTTAAAACCCTTGCAGACACCCAGTTTATATATATATAAGCCCCTAGAAAACCCTAATCCTAACTCCATCCCAAGTATAAGTTGGCTAACCTAATTATAAAATAACCCTAAACTTAAGTATTCGAAAACACTGTACTAACAAATGACCAAACAGTTACGTCCATTACAATTAAATAGATAATTAAATTAAACATTTAAAGCAAACAACCCAAGGAAAACAAATAAATAAATATAATTAAAGAAAGCATTCCAAACACATCGACAATTAAAGTAAAACAATTTCTAATTAATAATTAATTTAAATACACAAAAATAATCAACTAATCAATTAAGTAAATACACATAAAACAAAATCACCATTAATCAATTAGAACCCAAAACACAAAAGTCACATAATTAAATAAAATGCAATAAAAACAAAATTAAATTCTCATTTTATCCTTTCGAAAACTAGGGGTATTACAGAATATGAGCCACTTTTATGAGGGAGACAACATAAACAATAGGGTTACAAAGACACAATATAGAGCATTAGAGATAGTCTTAGAAAGGAAGAAAAGAGAAGAGCTAGAGACACTCTTGGCGAGCTTCCATCTACTTGAAGAAGAGAAGCATTTCTACCACAGACATAGCCCTTAAGGGTTGGAGGACACCATCCATGAGTGGCTAGACATCCTCTTGGGGTTAGAGTTAGCCCTAAGCATGCTTTCTTTATCTTGATTTATGTATTTTTTTAGGGAATTTGTGTTGTAATACATGTTCTGACATCTTTATATACATAGATCTTATTTATTAAATGATTTGTGTGGTTTAATTCTTTCAAGTGACCATTTCATTCTATCCATATGTCTATGTATGCTAGAATAGATGTTCATGTGCTTATCTCTATTTCTTGTGTTGTTGATGCATGTCTATGTGTATTGATATTATAGATCTAGAGATTGTCGAGACATAATGCTTAATAGAATGCTCTTGTGATTTATTTGATGGTACATGCTTATTTCTTGATGGATTGTGCCTCTCTTTTAGTTTAATTAGTTTAATTTACATGTCATTAGCTTAGATGTAGTGTAGTTACCTTAGTTGTTAAATAGGAGGACAATTCATGCTTGTTGTTTGATGTTCCATACTTGTGAATGCAAGTAGCATATTTCTCTAATTTTGTAATGTGTTTAGATTGTGAGCTTAAAGAAGGATTAATGGCTTAGTTTGATATATTGTGTTATTCATTATGTTGTCTAGACAATATATACTTAATTAGTCATCTATACTTATTGAAACAACCACACACACTCACTATTGTTGCAACATATGTCTTCCCCTCATTAATTATGAATTGAGTATAATGTAAAGTGATGCTTAGTGGTAATCTCTAAAGTCCCTAGATCTCTCTCTCTTATTTTCTCTATCTTTTAATTATTTGCTTGATATTAATCTTGTTTAGTTTTAACTGTAGTTTAATTAACCAACCAACCTACATTTGATCACTTGACCTACTAATCCTTAGTCTTGTTTCCACTACTAGTGCACCCTCAATCCCTTGGGATGATCCCTACTCACCCTTGCTATATTTTTAGTTAGCGGTAGTAGTGACATTTATAAATGTAAAACTTGGCCACACTATTTTGTACAAATTTGGTTGCACCGCGGCCTAGCACATCAGCATTGGGGTGGGGAGACTTGGAGGCATAATCTCTTGACACGTGGAGATTCACCCATTTGTTGGCCTAGGATAGGAACACTTGTTGGCATGGATGGATGACAAGTGTAGGCTTGATATTTAATCTTGGAAGCTTACTTAGATTCATGACAAGTGTAGGACTCACCTTTAGTCTTGCAAGTGTGTGTGTGAGAGGTAGTGCAAGAGCACCTAGTGAGTGGAGAATCCCACCACTTCAACTTAGGGTTTCATCTCATTTTACTCATTTCATATCTTTCCTCTCAAGAACCCTAACTTGGCCACCATTGGAGCAAAGCTTGATCTAAGGTTTTAAGCTTCATTTTGGTGCCCTTCCATTCACCTTAGACCTATAAGCTTGGAATATTTTATATTCCTCTCACTTTCCTCTATAAAACCCTAGCTTGGTTTCCATTTTTTAAACTTGGTTGCCTTGGATTATAGAGATTCAATTCTCTATTGAGGTAGGGGGTGTTATAATTTATTTTCCAAGTGATTTAATTGTTCTTATAGTGACATCCAAGTTATATGCATGTCTTATATTGAAATAAGAAATAATTGATTACTTATAGCTTGTATATAATTCACTTTAGACTTGATAAATGGCATGGCCATGACTTGATCTTTGTTGTGTATTAATTTGACATGATTGAAATGAGCATTTAAATCTAGAGGATTAATTGATTTAAGTTTATTTAAATTCTAATTAATTGTACCATGCTTGTATTTCATTTTTGACTTGATATATAGCATAGCCATGAATTACTCCTTGTCATATATTGAATTGGAATCATTTGGACAACTCTTGAAATCTAGAGAAATTACTTAGTTGGTCTACTTAATTTCCATCACGTTAATTTAGTAATTTAGTCATGTAATCCATGGAACTTATTATGTTTTATCACATATCATGACTTGTTACTCTACTTGTTGATTTTGAAAATTTGGGATATCATCAATAACTTAACATGGCTTGGACTTGGTTCTAGTACAGGAGATAGAGAGCTCCCTAAACTATAGTGCGCACTAGGGGAAGGTACCCATGGGTTAATAGCCCTAAAGTGATCTCAAGAGTACGGTTTTAGTCCGGGCGATGTCTAAGTATCCAGTTTAGTTTGATTTCACTCTTTAATTATCAAATTTGATTACCTTGTGATATTTGCATCTCATTATGCTATGTTAAAAGTTCCGATGTCATTTTAATAGTAAGGACTAAATTTTATTGAATTGTAAACTTTGTAATAAATTGAACTTATGCATGCTCATTCCCTACAAGTAAACTTGTTTACTCACACCGAAGTTACCGGGTGTTTTTCAGGTAAAAAAGCATCATTGTGGGATGCACAACACTCTTAGGATTGCTTGACTACTTGGAGTATTTTTGTATGTTAGAATATGCACTTGTTAGCATATCATGCTCCATTCTTGTTTATTTTGACAAAACATGTATTTAATGTTCAAACTATGTAATGAGTACTTAAGTACACCTTTTAATCCTCCTTAGTTGTGTATGTAATGAGGCCAAGGGAAAAGATACTTATATGCTATGTATGTTACTTTATTTTCATAGTTTGTTTATGAAGTTTAAGGGGTTTTATGCCTTGAAGGGTCATATTTTGCATATGATATGCCATGAGCCCGTAGGCCATTGTAGCACGTCTACTTTTGCATTTTACGTATGCGTGCATGGTTACATTTCACAAAACCCTTAAGTTCCAACTTTTGAACTATTTATGGAGGATTTATGAAAAATTAAAGCAAAATCCATGCATTGAGATATGATTTAAAGTTTTATTTTGATTTAGTATGAAATGGTTGTTCATTTAAGGTTCAAAGATGTTTTAAAACTTGTTCGGATCAAATGGGAAGCATGCATAGCCTTAGAATTGAGCCAAGCACCTTCCCCATGGATTGCAGTAGCTTATTTTGCTATTATCAGGTCCATCGGTCGGCTGATAACAGTCATCAGCCGACTGATAATTGTTGAAACCATTTCCAGTAGCCATTTAGTGAAAAAATGGCATTTCGGCCGGTTGGTACTGTACATCAGCCGGCTGATGAGTGAGTTTTGGCTGGCTGGTACTATTCCATCCGCCTGCTGATCCTCTTGGAGCTTAGTTACCTTTCAGCTTCTTAGACAGATTTCTTAGGTCAAATTCAGAGGGCTATATCTCCTTCGTTTCTAATCCAAATCAAGTTATTCTTGAGCCTAAACTCAAGAGCTTGAAGTTAGATTTCCAATGATACCAACCATACCCAAAAACTCCAACCGCAGAGAAAGTTACACCAGTTTTAGTAAGATAGGGTCGTGTTGTTTCTTAAACGGAGGATGCCTCTTCGTTCTATTTTCATATCTTTTTCGTCCGAACTCTGAATCAGGTGATTCTTGAGCTAAATTCATTAATTTTTTGTTGTCTTTCAAATGATATGCTTGGTAGCATCCATTCCTCTATGGAATTACCATTTTGCCCCTAGGTTCACTCTTGTCCATTTTTGAGACGTCGATTCCACATTTGTTTTCCTTGGGTTTTGTGACTCATTGAGGTTCCCATTGGTGTCTTATAAATGTGTAGTATCTCTAGAACCATCGTTATACTTTTTGCTTTCGCATTCTAGATTCATCATCAGATTTACATTTGGTTTATCTTAGGATGCATTGGCCTAAAATGCAAGGCCGTCACATCGGGGTTTGGATTTTTTTTATTAAAGCACCAAATCATGGGATTTTGGGCGTTACAATGTGAATATCCGCTCCCTTTATATATATACACAACAATATATATATATATATATATATATATATATATATATATATACACTAGGAAAAGGCACGTGCGATGCACATGATGAATATTTTGTAACTTATTTTATTATTTGGTAAATTGTTTTATTAAACTATTACTTATTTTACCTATTTTTTAGTTGTTTTATATATGATTTGAAATCTTTTATTTTAATTCATTTTATTTATAGAAACTCATTTATTTTAATTTATTTTATATTAATTTACAATATTTTTTATATTAATAAAAAATACTGAAATACTAAAAGAAAATAAAATAGCTAATTTGTAGTAGAGTTTTCTAGACTATTTTTTATATTAACAATTTTTGTCTAATTAGATTTCTTTTTATTAAAAAAGTCATAATAAAAGGTAAATTGTGGTACAGTTTAAAAAAATTGTTTAATTTTTTATATTAATTAATAAATATTTTTATATTAATAATTATTATCTAATTATATTTTCTTTTATTAAAATCTCATAATAAATAGATAAATAGGTAATTTGTGTTAGAGTTTTATAGAAACTCTTTTAAAAACTATTTTTATATCAATTAATAAATATTTTTTTATAATAATAATTCTTGTCTAATTAGATTTTTTTTCCTAAAAGAACTAATAATAAATAAATAATAGGTAATTTGTGTTAAAGTTTTATAGAAACTCTTTAAACATATCCTTGCCTAATGTGATAGAGTTTTATTGAAAATAAAATAAGCAATTTGTGTTATTGTTTTATAAAAATTATTTTATTTTCTTTAAATATATCATTGTCGAATTAGATTTTTTTAATTAAAAAAATCATAATATTTGGTAATTTGAGTTAAGTTTTAAAGAAATTATTTTATTTTTTATATCAATTAATAAATATTTTTTATATAAATAATTATTGGCTAATTAGAATTTGTTTTATTAAAAAACTCATAATAAATAGATAAATAGTTAATTTGTGTTAGAGTTTTATAGAAACTCTTTTAAAAAATTATTATTATTTTTTGAAAATATATCCTTGTCTAATTATATTTTCTTTTGTTAAAAAAATCATAATAAATCGATAAATACATGTTATATGTGATAAAGTTTTAAAGAAAATAAAATAGGTAATTTGTCGTACAGTTTTATAGAAATTATTTACTTTCTTTAAATATATTCATAATAAATAGGCTATAGGTGATAAAGTTATAGAAAAATTATTTTATTTTTTATATCAATTAATAAATAATTTTTGTCTAATTAGATTTTCTTTGATTAAAAAACTCATAATAAATTTATAATAGATAACTTGTGTTAGAGTTTTATAGAAACTTTGTTAAAATCTCTTTTTATATAAATATTTTTTATATTAATAATTCTCGTCTAATTATATTTCCTTTCATTAAAAAACTAATAATAAGTAGATAAATAGGTAATTTGTGTAGAGTTTATTGAAACTCTTTAAATATATCATCGTCTAATGTGATAGAGTTTTATTGAAAATAAAGTAGGTAATTTGTGGAAGAGTTTTATAAAAGTTATTTTATTTTCTTTAAATATATCCTTGTATAATTAGATTTTACTAAAAGACACATAATAAAAGGTAATTTATGGTAGAGTTTTAGAGATATTATTTAATTTTTTATATCAATTCATAAATATTTTTTATATTTATAATTCTTGTCTAATTAGATTTTCTTTTATTAAAAAATTCATAATAAATGGAAAAAGAGGGAATTTGTGTTAAAGTTTATAGAAACTCTGTTAAAAAATTATTTTATTTTTTAAAAAATATATCCTATTTAATTAGATTCCTTTTATTAAAAAACTCATAATAAATAGATAAATATAGGTTACATGTGATAGACTTTTAAAGAAAATAAAATTGGTAATTTGAGGTGGACTTTTATAGAAATTATTTTATTTTATTTAAATATATTCATAATAAATATGTAAATACAGGTTATATGTGATAAAATTTTATAGAAAATAAAATAGCTAATTTGTAGTACAGTTTTATAGAAATTATTTCATTTTTTTTAAAATATGTTTTTGTCTAATTAGATTTTATTTTATTAAAAAACTCATAATAAATAGATAATGTCATAGAGTTTTTGTGCTAAATTTTATAGAAATTTTTGTATTTTCTTTAAATATATTCTTATCTAATTAGATTTTCTTTTATTAAAAAACTTCATAATAAATAGATAAATAGGTAAAATTTGTTAGAGTTTTATAGAAACTCTTTTAAAAACTCTTTTTATATCAATTAATAAATATTTCTTTTTATATTAATAATTATTCTCTAATTAGATTTTCTTTTATTAAAAAATTCAAAACAAAAGGTTATTTGTGGTAGAGTTTTAGACAAATTATTTTACTTTTTATATCAATTAATAAATATTTTTTATATTAATAATTCTTGTCTAATTAGACTTTCTTTTATTAAAAAACACAAAATAAATTGATAAATAAATATTTTTAAAATCTCTTTTTATATCAATTAATAAATAATTTTTTTTAAATAGATAAATAAATAATTTGTTTTAGAGTTTTATAGAAACTATTTAAATATATGATTGTATAATGTGATAAAGTTTTTGAAGATGCACGAACTTTATCTCTCTAAATTGACAGAATTTCAGTACACTTCAAATATTTCGATCCCTCATTTCTCCTTTTTCTTTTCTATTTATAGACAATTTGCATTATTCTAGAGTATTCTTAACTAACTTCCGCCGCTGGGCGTATCCTTAAGGTTAAATGGTTATGGGCCTGACTCCTCTTTGGAGGCGTTTACCAATAACCCCTTGTGCCAGGTCTGCTAAGTGGATACGAAGTTTGGGCTCAGATCAATTACCAGGCCCAGACTCCGCCATGTAGGCCCGATACGGCCCAAGCCGTCCTTGGCATCCTTAACTGCCCCCATAATCACTCCCTCATTAATTAGGGTGTGATTATTTAGAGGTTTTAATGATGACTTGACGGCTTATGATGATTTGACAGCTCAAGACAATTGCGTAGGGCACCGAGCGATTGGCCTCAGAATTAATGTCTTTTTTGAAATTCGAATCTCTTCAACTTCCTGATGTCTCGGCAAATGGGACCACTCTCTTTAAATACCCTTCCTCTGCGATCAAAACTCTTCTTGTCATATCTCTTACATCCTGCTGTCAATCAATTTAGTCCACTTTCTCAAGGCGAACTGCATCTTTTCCGATCAAACCTTACCTTCTCCGGCGAATCTTGTAGGAGGTTATTCCGCTTCTGCCACTCTCTGTCTTTTCAAGGTTAGTTCCACTCATTCTTCCTCTTTAAGTCTTTTTAAACCCTTCTTAAGACGGTAATCATTCTTACCATGCCTATAGATTTAGACATCCTTCGCCTGAAACTCCAACTCCCCTTTGATATTAAAATTAGGGAGTGCACCAAAAGTGTAAATATCAGGATTGGTGCCGACCTTCTTCCCAGTGAGGTCTTGTTTTCCCATCACTATCTCAATATTATTAGATTCCCCCTTCATTCCTTCTTTTGCTATGTGTTCTATAAGTTAAAACTGTCTCCTCTCCAAGTTAACCCCAATTTCTTTAGGGTTTTATCTGTTCTGCTACTGCTGAACCGTGACAGAGGCTTAGATCTTGACCTCGTCGATCTTTTCTTATGTTACAAGGTCAGCAAAATGAAGTCAGAGGATGTTTACTAACATTTTTTCCCCATAGAGAAAAGATCCATATGTACGGACAAACTTAAGTCCGAGAAGGGATGGAAGAAGAGCATTGTTGGCGTTCGGGGAGCTTGGTTCGCTCCTGCTGCCAAGGACTTCCCTATCCCAACCGCCTTCGGCGAG